GGTGCTTAGTGGAGAGCTATGGCTTCCACGGGCACCTGATAGGAACTAGGAGTGGGAATGGCTCTGCGGAAAGTGGATGCCATGGCCAAACCAGACCATGTCATCACTTCTGGTGGCAAAAACCTTAATAAGAACTGAGAGCACATTGAAAACGACAGTTCTCAGGTAACCTGGGAGAGAAGTTTGAAGAAACTACAGCTGATGGTGGAAAAACTCAGACCGTCTGCAACTTTATAAATGGCACACTGTTGTCATCCCAATCCACCAAGGTTGCGGGTTCAATCGCAGTCAGGGCATATACAAGAACCAACCAAGGAATGCATAAATAAGTGGAACATATCAATGTTTCTCTCTCTTTCTCTCCAAAATCCGTCATTGGTTCAACATCAGGAATGGAATGGGAAGAAAAGTACAATAATGAGAAGACTGGAAGGCAGGAAATTAGTGGTGGAATGTGTCTTAAACAGTGTCACCTGTACTCAGACCTATGAAAAAGTAGAGTAAAAATTCCATCATCCTTCTGGACAAGAATTAGCTGTGAGGATAAACAAGCTCAGTTCAAGGAGCAAATCTCTCCAGGCTGTTTTGTTTTTCATCACTGTGTTCAGTTACCTTTATCGCAAACATTTTGCGCACAACTATTTCCGAGCGCTGGTTTAATTAGGATCAACCCTTTGGTTAGAAAATAAATGTATTTATGCTAAAAAAAAAAAAGCAAGTAGAATTTGCTTTCATTTTAATAAAAAGTGTATATATATATATATATATATATATATATATATATATATATATATATATATGAATGAAAAGAAAAAGATCTGGAAAAATATACAATAAGATGTTATCGATGGCAATCTTCGGGTGGTACAAATATGGGCTAAATATAGTAATATCAAAAAATGTGCCCTGGCCAAGTAACTCAGTTGGTTGAAGCATATCCCATACACCAGGGTTGATTCCTGGTCAGGACACATACCTAGGCTACAGGTTTGATCCCCAGTCAGGGTGTGTGCAACCGATTGATGTTTCTATCTCACATTGATGTTTCTCTCTCTCCCTCCCTCCCTCCCTCTCTCTCTCTCTCTCCCTCCCCCTGCCCTTCTCCCTTCCTCTCTCTAAAATCAATAAAAATATATCTATATTTTAAAAGTTTGCTTACTTGTATTTTCTAACTGCTTTGTAATAACAAAAGGTTATTTTAATTTTAAAAATCTCTCAGAAAGGAAAAAAATAATAAAATAAAATAAAATAAAATAAAGGGGAAAAAATCTCTCAGAGAAACCTGTCATTTAAAGGAATGTTTTGGCCCTAGCTGGTTTGGCTCAGTGGATAGAGCGTCGGCCTCCAGACTGGAGGGTCCCAGGTTTGATTCTGGTTCAGGGCACATGCCCGGGTTGCAGGCTCGATCCCTGGCCAGTAGGGGGTGTGCAGGAGGCAGCCAATCAATGATTCTCTCTCATCATTGATGTTTCCATCTCTCTCTCTCCCTCTCCCTTCCTCTCTGAAATCAATAAAAATATATTAAAAGAATAAAGGAATGTTTTTCAAGGGGGTAATTATCTCTCATTTTAACTATTTAATAAAATGGATTTTCATAGGATGGGGTACATGCTGGACTGGAGCAGTGCCTTAAAGTTTGTTATATCAGCACCTAACCTATAATCACATATTTTCTTATGCAAAATATGTAACAATTCATGCCATGAGAGTAGAGTAAATGTTTCTTTAGCTCTGTTTCAACACCAGGCAACTCCTGGATGTCGAGAGCTCTGAGAGTACTCACCATTCCCGTAAGCCCAGTCATCATTCATACGGTGGCGCACTTTCTGGTAAATGGCTGACATGGTTTTCATGTTGCTTTTCCTCCACTGGCGCCCCAGGTACTTGGTCTGTATTTTTAGCAGCTTCAGGACATAAAGTTGCAGCATGGCCTGTTTGACCTTGAGAGCCCGCTTTAAGATTGGAGCAGATTTAAACACCACCAGCATCTGCTCATTTAAAGAGGGATGAGAGTGAAGAAAGACAAATAAAAATATAAAGTTACTTGGGCGTTCCCCAACTCATAGACAAATAAAGCTAAACCTGGCTGACCTGAGATTACGCAGGGGAGCTTTTGGAAATCTATGGTCCAGGCTCCACTTAGATTTAGTCTTCAAGGAGGTCACTCCATTTATATTTCACAATTAAAAGTTTCTGATGTCAGTATAGAACTGCCTCATTCTTTTTCATTGTTGTATAAGATTGTATTATAAGGATACACCATAAGTTATTTAACCAGTTGGTCCCGTATTAATGAGCATTTAGGTTGTTTCCAATCTTTCATAATTACAAACAATGCTGCAATGAATAGCCATCGAGCTGCATTGTTTGGGATTTGTGAATATAGCTCAAATAACAATGCTAACTTCCCTAACAGAGAGGCCCTGAGGGAAGATCCACATCCAGCTCTCTAAAAAGCAATGTAAATATTTCTCTCATATAGAATAAATGCCCAGAATTAGAAGGGGCTAAATTTTTTCAAAATATATTTTTATTGAGTTCAGAGAAGGGAGAGGGAGGGAGAGATGGAAACATCAGTGATGAGAGAGAATCATTGATCGGCTGCCTCCTGCACGTCCCCTGGGGATAGAGCCTACAAACCCAGGCATGTGCCCTGACCAGGAATCGAACCTCCTGGTTCATAGGTCGACACTCAACCACTGAGCCACACTGGATGGGCAAGAGGGGCTAAATCTTACATAGCATTCAGTGTGTGTCTATAGAGCTTACAAAGCAGGAAGTCCATACAAATTAACTGAAGATTTAAAAACTCAGTGAGATGGACACCTCCATGATCAGAAGTCCCACTCACCATGGTTCTGGAATGCTTCCATTTGGTCAGTTTATTGAGCAGCCTCAGAAGGTTGATGCAGGAAAAGAGGTTCCTCCAGCAGAACTGGTTGTTGTCTCCAGCTTCCTGTAATAAGGCATGCCCGTCATAATCTCCACACCCATAAGACTTTTATTTCCATAGATGCCTGAAGTCGCTGTTGGTCAATTTAGATGAGGCCTTCCATATAAAATGCTACCTCCTCACTATCCTGCTTTTCACACACTGAGGCCAAAACATGTAATATCTTTTATCTGGTTAGAAACATGACACACGAACGTAGGAACTTCATTCAAGCAAGCTTTCTTGTGTAGCTTTCTAATTTAGGATCAGAGAAGAGATGCTTTCTACCCCATACACTTTGCACTTACATAAGCTATGTTTGTAACTGCCAGGAGTTATTCTGGTAGATTTCAAACTATGGTGGATGGGTCTGGTATTCATTGTGGCTGGATTTTTTAAATCAACCCCACCCTCCTTTATCAAACCATATTGCAGCAAATTGCTTAATTCTCCAGCACGGAAGAAAAAATGGCAGATGGTTAATTCTAACCAGGTGTTTCTCTTGTATGTTTCTTGATAACAAGAAGTAACAGATGGATGTCAGATTAGAAACAGGTATATACTCCTAGAAACATCATTCAGGGACAAAAATAGAGTCCTTACAGATTTGGAGGCCTATAAATATATACTGGTGGCAGAAGCTATATAAATCAATGAGTACGCATGGTGGCCAAACTAACATCTTGGAAATTCCTCACGTCTACAAAGTGATAACATAACGTAGGAGTAGGAGATGTATAGACGTGAACTGCTGTCTGGTGAACGGGAAATTACCCCTCCTCTCCCAAATAGATCTGAAGCAAGCAAATGTAATGTGGACTGAACATCCAAGATTTTTTAGTGTATTAGGTTAATATACATAAGACTACGGATCAAAAAGTTTCAGGGGAGGGTCAATGGGGGGGGGGGGAGAATATGTAATACTTTCAACAGTAAAGATTTAATAATAAAAAAAGTTTTAGGGAACCCTGGCCAGTGTGGCTCAATGGTTGAGCATTGTTCTATGCACCCAAAGGTCCCTGGTTCCATTCTTGGTCAGGGATCAAGTCTGGGCTGTGAGTTTGATCCCCAGTAGGGGACATGCAGGAGGCAATTGATCAATGTTTCTTTTTCTCTCTCCCTTTCCCTTCCTCTCTATCTAAAATCAAATTAAAAAAACACATTACTTAGCCCTAGCTGGTTTAGCTCAGTGGATAGAGCTTCAGCCTGCGGAATGAAGTGTCCTGGGTTCAATTCTGGTCAAGGGCACATACCTCGGTTGAGGGCTTAATCAGAGAAAAACTTTAAGTGTTATTTAAAGACTATCCTATACACTTAAAAAAACAGTACATTTTCTGTTTATAATTAATTAATTGAGCCTGAAAAAGAGATAAATCTTACTCATCTAAATATTAGTCTTTTCTGAGTACAGAAGCCATCAGTTGAGACAAATAAACCATTATATTGAGCACCTATGTGGAGTAAACTTGCTAGTTACTTAAGGCTGTTTACATAAGTTCACACAAACAATACAAAACAAACTGTGGTTACCAAATGAGACCACCAGGTGCCACTGTTGCTTCACAGAAAGATGAAATACCGACCATGAATTTGTATTTTATTAAAGCTAGACAATGCTTTCACCCACTCTTGCATAAAAATAAAGTCTTCTCAGAAGCATTACAATTAGCTAAGTAATTTTATGCTTATATCCTAAAAGGTCATTCTGAAGAGATACAGAGAACACATTGTACCAAGAAACAGATTCAGGCCCTGGCAGGTGTGGCTCAGTTGTTGGAACATTGTACCGTACACCGAAAGGTGGTAGGTTTGATTCCGGTCAGGGCATATGCCTGGGTTGCGGGTTTAATCCCTGGTGGGGGCATGTATTGGACACAACCGATCAGTGTTTCTCTCTCATATCCATTAAAAAAAAGAAATAGATTTAGGTCATAAAAGCTAACTATTTTCAAATACCCTACTAATAGAATTTGAATACTATCCATGTGCCACTTGTTTCTCATTCCAACTTTGAATGGCAGGGATGTAGGTCTCCACCCTTGCTCTGCTACATTCAATTGTAAAATTTTGGCAGTTACTTACTTCTCTATCCATAAAACAGTAATACCAACCTCATAGTTGTTTTAAAGATTGACTAATATGATGAACATAAACAGGGTTTGATACTTATGATCTCTCTCTGCAAGGGTAAGGAGCTCCTCTTGGCTGCTGAGACCACATCTAAGTAAGACAGCAGTTCTGCCCTGGTGCTAAAAAGGGTGCTAGACTTAGTGTCTCAGGACATGGGTCTTTCTCTAATTCAGGGTTTGTCATGAATAAAGCATGAACCATGAAAAGTCATTTTGTTCAATGGACATTTCTCATCTTTGAAATAGAGGTTTAGGCCAAATAGCTCTCATGTCCCCTCCAGCCAAAAATCCTATGGTTCTATAAAACCTGTACCACAGAAGGTATCATTCTGTTTTTACATAATAGACTTTAAAATATATATATTTTTATTGATTTCAGAGAGAAAGGGAGAGAGAAACATCAATGATGTGAGAATCACTGATCGGCTGCCCCCCGCCCCCCCACCACACACATACACTGGGGATCAAGCCTGCAATCCGGGCACGTGCCCTTGAATCAAACCTGGGACCCTTCAGTCCACAGGCTAATGCTCTATCTACTGAGCCAAACCAGCGAAGACCATAATAGACTTTTTTGATGCAACATTTTGCAAATATTAAAGTTGGGGTTGTGGCACACATAGGTGCTGTCATCTGGCCACTCAGCACTTATTGAGCTCCTTCTATATACCAAACATGGTGCTAGACTCTGGTGATATAAAAATGATGATGCACTAAAACAATTTTCTTGAGTAGTGTGATTATAGAGCTAGTAATTAGACTCCTTACTAAATGAATAGCATCGTTAGATTACATTTAGACAAGTACCACATACCCCATTCCATTTTATTAATCACCCCTTAAATGCAGTCCTGTTTGTTTGCATGAAAGAGCTTTTAAAATGGTAGATAAATAAATAAATAAAATAAAAATGATGATGATACTATCTCTTACTTCAAGGACTTTTCAGTCAAATAGAGAAACCGATATAAATTACAATGCAACGGGGTGAGGGTAGGGACTGAGGAATACCTAATGAGCTGTGGCAATACATGATGAGACTGACACTTGGTCTTCACTGTGCTATTCATCAGTCAGTTTCATGCATTAATAACTCTGAGGGCCTTGGCCAGATTGGCTCAGTTGGTTGGGTATCGTCCCATGCACCAAAAGATCCCTGGTTCGATTCCCAGTCAGGGCACATGTCCAGGTTGTGGCCTCCATCCCTACTGGGGGGCATGAAAGAGGCAGCCTATCGATGTTACCCTCTCACATCAATGTTCCTCTCTCTCTCCTTCTCCCTTACTTTCTCTCTAAAAATCAATTAAAATATATATTTTTTATTTAAAAAAATATTTTATTGATTTTTTTACAGAGAGGAAGGGAGAGGGATAGAGAGTTAGAAACATTGATGAGAGAGAAACATCGATCAGCTGCCTCCTGCACACTCCCCACCGGGGTGGTGCCCGCAACCAAGGTACATGCCCTTGACCGGAATCGAACCTGGGACCCTTTAGTCCGCAGGCCAACGCTCTATCCACCGAGCCAAACTGGTTAGGGCAATATATATATATTTTTAAAAAGAATAACTCTGAGGGACTTTTCTGACTTGCCTAGAGCTGTTTCCAGGATGAAGAATTTTCTGGGTCATCCTTCTGTGGCTATATTGACTTTTGCCTCAGAGAGACGTAGGCATTTTGGTATTTTCCGAAGTACCACTCCTGGGTTTTATAACCCGAATGGAAATGAAAAGTGCATAGCCTCTGGCACAGCAGAAAGGCAGATAATTATTTGGGATGACCAGACAAGATTCTCCTGCCATTCTGCGCAGATGTTCACATTCAATTTCAGTCTAATTATCTTCCTAAATGTCCTCTCCTCCTTAGTGTTTTCCACTGACCCTTTTCTTGACAAAATGCTATGCACAGCTTTTCCAAACTGTTCTCAACTGGGTCAGCAGCTCTAAACCCCTACTGGCTCTGTGCTATTGCCAATAGGCCTTGTTAATCTGAGACTCACAAACCAGGGCATTATGGAGGCAGAGAAGCAATGGAAGAGCAAGTGCCAGCCTCTGCTACTTGGCATTTTCAAAGGCTACCGAATCCGCATCTGCTTACCAGACTCTCCGTAGTAAGTTCTGGCAAATCCTGGATGGTACAGCAAGGGTAATCCAGGACCGAGATGCTGCAAGATGCAGAGATAAGGACAGGCTTTGGGTAAATGGCAACGGCAGGAAACAGCTGTATGTTAAAGGGCAGGGGTTAGTTCTCTCCAGCAGGCCCTATCTATTTCCCAAATTGCTTAGAGACCTTGGCTGAAACCGAGGGCTTTGGTGCCAGGCAACTCCAGCTCTGGTCTCCTCTCTTCACGGAGAGGAACTAGCAGAGAGGAACTAACAGAGTTCTTTCAGGCTGGCCCCCATCTGGCAGAGGCAAAAGAGAGCAGAAAGAGAGCCCTGTATAGCCACCTTTCTCCTTCCTTCTTTAAAGGAATATGTAAACTTGTCTGCAGTTGAGTTTCTGTATTTAAGTATATGCTTGTGTATATGTGTGAATGTAACTGTGCTCCCAGAGATGCTGCTAAAACTTATTGCACTTAACAAACTGTGGATGTGAGGATGCAATGCAGACTTCTGTGTCTTTCTGAAAGCCAGGAGCTCTTGGGAATAATCACATAAGCTACCCCTACAGGAAGCTTGAGACAGAGGCAGCAGCCTACAGCAGGGCCAGTCTAGTAGCTCAAGAATGGTAATAGCATCTGCCTCCAAGGGAGCTGGAGGCTCTGTGGGGAGCCCAGGGAAGCAGGAGAAATAAGGCACCACATGATGACAGGAACACAGTCACTTAAAATGACCTTTCTTTCCTCTTCTCCCTTCTTCATGGGTACAATGCAGAATTGAGATTCGGTAATCTCTAATGCTTCTCCTGGTTGGGACATTCCATGAGGTTTTAAACACCAATCTTGCCCTGGCCTGTGTTGCTCAGTGGTTGCTCAAAAGTGTTGCCCTGGGGACCAAAGGGTCACGGTCAAGGGCACGTACCTGGGTTGCAGGTTCGATCCCCAGCCCCAGTTAGGGCGCATGAGGGATGGAAACCAATTGATGTGTCTCTCTCACATCAATGTCTCTGTCTCTCCCTCCCTCCTTCTTTCCCTTCTATTCTGTCTAAAAATCAATAGAAAAAATATCTTCAGGTAAGGATTAACAAAAACAAAACAAAACAAAACAAAATTTAAAAACCAACAATCTATCTGAACTAATGCAGTTGGAAATAAGAAGACTATGGGGTTCCTTGGACCTGTCTCTCTATTTCGAAAGTCAAACTCTATCCAAACAAAAGGCAACAATTTATTCCACTAGAAATGTTTACCTTTGTCCAAGAAACACACAAAGATAACCAAGGGAACAAAGGGAGGAGAGGAGAGGCCAATGGCTCTCTCTACAATGTTGCTCATCATCTTAATTCACTCTACTAGATCCTCCCAGGGTTGCCAGTTCTTTGCTGCTCCTTTAGGAAAAACATTCTGGGCTGGCTTATCCACTCAGCTAGCCACCTCCCACTGACAAAGCCCCATGGCAAAGTAGGTGCTGAGGACCAGGAAACGGGGGCGGGAAATCAAAAATGGATTTATTCTAATCTCAGTGAACTGAATTCTAGCCTAAGGGGGAATAAAAGACAGTTACAAGTTTCTACACTATCTAGGTTGTAAGAGCCATAAGGAAACTGTGCAATACTGAGCTGTGGGTGCTCCAAGTTTCTCAGGGATTATGCACCAGTGAAATATACTGTGGGTGGTAGACAGGAGGACCATCTTATCCAGGCCAACCTTAGCAAATGGCATAGTCTGGCTCTTTCAACTCCAAATGATCTCGATGGACACAGATTGGATTGTTTGCCCCTCCTCTTCTAGGCCCAGGAGTGCATTTAGCTCCTGAACCCAACTTCCCAGCCACAGTTGACTGAGCCAGGGACAGACCTCTAACCCTGGGAATGTGGAACAAGGATTGAGAGCCAATTCAGTCTGAGTGGCATGGGGCAGGACATGTTGAGCTCATACGGGCATATTTCAGAGAGTGGCCTGGGAAACAGACACTACTATTTGCAAGTGAGAGAAGACATGGGAGTGGAGTACAGAGGCTTGGTGTCCATAGATAGAGGTGGAGGACTGCCTGGGCTCCCTACAGACCAACCCTGAGGCTCAGAGCTGCATCCCTGTCCTAGGACCTCAAGATGATATACCTCACATTTCCTCCTAACAAATTACCTACTATGCATTACCTACCTAGCTGGTTTTAGTTACTTAGAACTAAAAAGGTTGACTGATACACAGAGGTGCCTTCATGAAGCTGTGGCCCTTACCTCGCCCAACCTACACTTCCATTTTCCCTGATAATTCAACTAGCAAGTCTTAGTGTTAGTTTTATTTTTATTTTTTGTTAATCCTCATCAAAGGAAATTGTTCCATTGACTTTTGTAGAGAGTGGAAGGGAGGGGGAGAGACAGAGAGAAACATCGATGTGAGAGAGACACATTGATTAGTTGCCTCCTGCACACGCCCCAACCAGGGCTGAGGATTGAGCCTGCAACTGAGGTACATGCCCTTGACTGGGATCGAACCTGGGACCTTTTAGTCTACAGGCCAATGCTCTATCCACTGAGCCAAATCAGCTAGGGCTTAGTGTTATTTTTAAGGCGGCCAGTGCATAAATCTCCTGTAGTTAGAAAAAAAACAAAACCAAAAAACCCCTGAATTCTCAAATGCTTCCTTCAAACAGGAAAAGTATTTAAATCACTCTCATATATATTTATCTTAACTAATGCTTATAAAAGCTCTATGATTCAGTCAGAAGAGGCATTATTTTCATTTTAAAGATGGAAATACTGTGGCTCAGAGAAACAAAGTGTCTTACTTGAGATTACATAGCTAGCAAATGGCTGATCCAGGCCAGCAATCGAGGTCTCATGACTTCCGGTTCCGTGTGTGTGTGTGTGTGTGTGTGTGTGTGTGTGTGAAACTACATATAAGTAAGCTGCCTCTCCCTGGAGGAATCTCAGGCTGTGCTGACATACTGGTGAGGCAACATCTCCTAGCCCCTCTCCACTCACTCCGAGTAATCCGCCTTCTACTTTAGAAACTTTGCCTCTATTAAAGCACTTCTGGTAGACTCTCCTGATTCACAGGCTTCCAGTTCTCATGGAAACAGCCAAGTAAGGAACAAGGTTCTGTTCTGTAACCTTCCCTTTCTGCCATGTCCCCACTTGGCTGGAGGAGTGGAAAGCAATTTGTATTCACAATTGTGATCAGAAAGCAATTTGTGTTTTGATCCTATCTTTGCTGCTTACTTAACAAGTCTCACTAGCATGTTAATCTTGAGCAACTCAATTAACCTGTTGTTTCCTAATTGGTAAAATGAGAAATAAAACTTGTTGTAATACCACTTAGGACTGCTTTGGAGATTAAATAAAATAATGGATAGAGAAATAGTGTAATTTTAAAAACTACAAATTGATCTACTATTTTTCAGTTATAAATTCACTATAACACTTTACAGTTTACAAAGTAGTGTAACTAACCCAACTTATGATTTATACTAAGATCGGGGCTGAAATTTTATCGTTGTAGTTTTATTACTTTGAGTCATGACATTTTTCAGTTTTTAAAATTTTAAAAATACAAATATCTTTGTGACGAGGCCAAATCATATACCCCAAAAGCTAACACTTCAAGGAAATAAAATAGTAATCGCTCTAAAATAGAACTTGGGACAGCAAAACTGACAGGTTCAGAAATAATGTAATTTTTCTCAATCATCCCAAACTAGCCCTTTTGAAATAAAAGTGTCCAGAGTCCATACCTGTTTTTAGCAGTGATGTAGGACAAAATATTTTGATTGAAGAATTTCAGGATCAATGGAATGCAGTTGGCAAATACCAAATGTTGTGATACATATTCAAACTGAATTAAAAGATCAAAGTGGAAAGGGCTGCTTATTTGGGGGAGAAAAGAAGATCTGTATGAAAAACAGGCAAATATAAATCTAACATCCATCCCTAAAGATATCCACTGGCCGCCTGTGTTATCAGTCTTTCTGCCTGGGAAGGGGGAGAATCGTCTCCAGCTCGCCCATCCTACCTGGAGGGGGACAATCGGTAGTGTTATATAGGTCGCAAACTCCTGACCAAAAGCACAAAACATAAACCGGAGAGAAAGCCCTATTACCGATCAACAGAACTGCTGTGAGATTTGCTCTTAAGCTCAACAGGAAAGGAAGGCAACCCCGAGGGAGTTGTCTTCCACACCAAAGCTCTGGCTCCTAGTGTTTCAACTGTGATTGATACAGCAAGGACAGGTGCAACTCACCCCAGCAGCTGCTGGCATCACTCAGCCAGCACGGAGACAACACATAACCAAATGGGCCACTGGAATGTGGGCTCCATGCCAGTCTGTGTGGTTCCCTGTACTTAGAATGTCATATTTTAATGAACGAACCAAGAGCCCTTCAGTCAACAGATACTGCACTGAGAATAAGTCGAGGACCTCTTATGAGCATAACACCACAGCACAGGGGCTCCACTTGGCTCTCCTGAATCTGGATGGGGTCTGTGTCCAGGAAGACCTAGTGGAGGCAGTGTCGTGAAGTTATGCCATCTGGATTTTGCCCAAGATACACTGAGGAGCACCAGACAATTTTCTCCAGATCCAGAACCGAGACTGCTAGGACAGTGCAGAAACTGGGTCGAAAAAGCAGAAAATTGTGCTGTTTTAAATCCCCTACTTCTTCCTGATTACCAAAAAGTAGCCTTGGTAGCAAGCTAAGCTGCCCTCTGCCCCTAAATGTGTGGTTACAGGGGAGGCGTCAGCTGGTGCTGCCCATTTCTCTCTTTTGCTCAAATCTTTCCCCCTGGCAGCTGACCCAGGGTTTTTTCCCCAAAGCCCCAGATGGAGGAGACGATGCATACTCTCTATCAAGTGATGGAAAACTTTTTCCAGTTTTAGATGTGTCTGTAGCCTTGTCAGGATTCACTGCCACTGACACACACTGGCAAGACCCATCAAGCCACCCACCTGTCTGGCTGTTGATCCACCTACTGCCACCAAGAGGAGCAAACAGAAGCAGACATCCTCAGTTCTCTGTCCTTTCTACTAGGACCACTATCTCCCACCAGGCCCAACTCCTCCCAGCCCTGCTGCTGCTCAGCAAACATGAGCAGACGTGTGAGCACCCAGGACACGCTAACAAACCTACAGATGTCCCGGAATGTACTAAAATAGTCAAGCCTGCCATGGACACAGACCCTGCAGGGCCTCCCCTGCACTCTAAGGACCTGCTCTTCCACCAGCAAGCTTGGTTTTGACTTCACAGGAGGAAAACAGAGCAGAGCCTCTGTGCAGGAATGAGATGCCTCCTCTCCCCCATGGTCTCACCACAGCGACCATCCATTACTGCTTCCATCTTCCCCTATACCTTGCTTATGGCAATGTATGCTTACAGAAGAACCAAGTCTAAACTCCTCAGCACGGCAAACAATGCGTTTATGAGGAAACAGGTTAACCTTTCCTAGATTTGGTTTCCTCCTCTATAAAACAGGCATAAAGTAAGACCTACCTCATAGGGCTGAGAGAATTAATTGAGATCCCACACAAGCTTAACAGAGTGCCCGGCCCATTATAGGTACTTAATAATTGTGCGCTATCACATGTGTTATGTCCTCCCTGTTGTCCCCTCCAGCCTTACGGACTTTCACAAATTAGCTTTTCTGCTTGAAGTGCTTCCTGTCCTCTTTCCCTGACAACTCCCACATTGTAGCTAATCTCTCTTTAGGACTCGGGTTGAAGTCACTTCACCTCAGGCTGGATTAGGTATTTCCCTATCAGGCAATGCTTAACTGTGCTTATCACTCTACGATTGGATCTTTATGTATCTGTATCCTTTACAAGACCTCTAAGCCCTTAAGAGCCAGAAACATGCCTTATTCAGAATTAGATCTCAAATGTTAGAAAGGTGCTTCGCATATAGAAAACCATTCTCAACATGCCGCCCCGCCCTCCATTTTTGTAGAATGCTTGAATCCTATCACCCATTGTTTTAAAGCTGGCTGGGCAGAGATTCCTACCCACAACCCTCAGATCATGCTCAAAGGACATAGACATCAGCACCTTTCTAGAACAGTCCCCCACATCCCACACCATATCTCCACCCCAAGCTTGTACAACAGGCATTTTGATTCCCTGAGTGAGACAAAGAAAAGGCTGAAAGATACTCAGCTGGATTACAAGGGCCCTGGTGTCCCTTCTTTAGGAGACAGGGCCTAGTGAACACGGAGACCCATGGAGAAGCGCTCCTAGCTGCTCACCTGGTAGATGTGGTTCAGTTTGAAGTGCTTGAGGAGCAGCAGGAGCAGGGCAGAAATACTCTTTACAATGATCTCCTTGTGCCTGTTCACGTCGATGCCCAGCTTCATGCTCTGGAGAACAGTGACGCTACAATAGGGACAGGAGGGGTCAATGTCGAGGGTGGCTGGAGAGAGCTTCTACACAGTACATACTTGGATCGGATACGATGTACACAGGAGAGCCAGAGCTTAGGAAACCTGAGTTTCTGTGCTAGGGAAACCTCCCGAGTTCCTGCTGATAAGCCTGTCTGGAGAAAAGCTCCTCTGGACTCTGTTTCTCTCTCTCCTTTGGCAAGCTCATCCCTTGGCAATGTCCACCCACATACCTGTGCAGCCAGTCGCTGGCACGCATACTGCCCTCCAGACCCTCAATTCTGAGCTAAAGGGAGCACAGCAGAGAGCACTGCGATGGAAAGGGGCTACTGCTGGGGGAAGGGAGATCTCTTTGGAGATAATCCCTGTGTTAACCAGGTGGGGTGGGGACTAGAGAGACCTCGCGGACAAGACAGCTAGTATTCAGCCGCCGCCACAGTTGAAGCACTCACGGCATCTCCTCAGGCAGGACATCTGCCAGAATATTGATAGAGTCTGTCTTAGCCTTGGAGGTGGGAGCTGCCGCCAGCAGAATCTTAAGCAGAGCAATCTGGAAAGTAGAAAATGAGGAATCCATCCCATGCAACAAGGCTATTTCTCAATGCCTCAACAGTCCTATGGGAAGTGTTTTAAAGTCTTCCTCTAAGTCCTTCCCTCAATGACCAGATCTCCCCAGCCTCCAGAGGGGCAACCAGGTGTCCAGTCCTGAGAGGCCTGCCTGTGAGAGTCAGGAGCCAGAAGGGAGCTGACAGGCTGCTGTGCTTCAAGACTGCTCTTTCCAGAGAGGAAGATGGGAAAGGCAAAGTGAGAGGGACAAGGTCTAGAAATAAAGTGGGAGGCATAAGCAAGATTTCACGTCCTCTACCCTTTCCTTCCTCTAACCCTGACCATCAGCATCCTCACCATTCTTAGCCTGAGGCTATCTAGAACATGACAGACCACAGCAGACCTCAGGGGGACGAGGGTCCCCAATACACCCTGCACAGATCCCATCTTGATCTCCATCCCTCCAAAAGGACTAGGGAGTCCCGCCAAGTCCTCCTTCCTCTTGCAGGAGCCCCGAGGAAAGCTCAGAATTCTAATGTGTTAGAGAAAGCCTCGACTGAGGAGTGAAAGCTCAGGAAACAAGCTGAAATGATGGACATCTCAGCTTGAAATGACTCTCAGCTGTCTGTTCCTTGAAGCAAAGAAGGGCAACTTCTTACCATGTCCTTACCCCACCACCTCTTACCATGTACTGGGGGAGGCTATACAGCATGCCCTGGTAGAGGATTTCACATGGCGTCTCTGGCACTACCTCTTCCCCCTACAGCAGGAAACACACAGTTACCCAGGCCATTTTCCAGTTGACCAAAGGCTATGTGAAGTGTGGCATGCAAAGAGCACTGAGCTGGGAGTCCTAGGTTCTACCCTCGCTGTGTTAATGTTTCCTTATATGACCTTGGGTAAGTTACTTTCCCTATCTGGGTCCTAATTTCCTCTTCTGTAGCTCAGTGGGCTGGGCTGGATGACCGCTCTGGGCTCTTCCAGCCCTAACAAGCTATGATTCTGGTTTTCACATTATCTGGAGTCGACCCAAATTCTTTTTTCCATATCCCAGCTGGATCAGGAGTAAAAACTCCCAACGAGGAGACGGCTCAGACCACTACTTTACTGAACACATGGGGACTTAATTCAGGCTGCAGGTATGCCCGGGACACTGGGAACAGACAGCCCACACAGAGCCACTTCCCAGGGTGTCAATCTGAGGCCACCTGAGAGCACTAAAATGCTCTGGAGCCAGAAAGGAAAGGCAGGTGACTCAATAGAGAGGGTTAATAAGACAGATGGGTAACCTATGGCCTGGAGAAGCAGGAAGGACTATTGGCTGATAAGCTTTTAGGTGTAAACTATTTTTACTTCTCTATTAGCCCCTACAACATTCCTTTCTCCTTCCTGACCAGCCCCTTCATGCACAACTCTCTTCGTCCTTTTGATGACCCCACCTAAGCCCTTTGTCGGAGTATGGAGACGACCTCCAGTGCTCGAGAGGCTACTCAAGGCCACTGTCATCTTTGGGCAATGCAGTCCTTCCTCACCCAAGGTCTGTCTATTACAGGGCAAGGGTCAGTGCCATGAGAACCTAAGGAAGGTGCTTAGCCCTTTTTCATCCCCCCCCACCTCAGCTATGCTTAAATAAGCAAAAGTCTTAATTGGACATTCAGTAAAACCTGCAATCCCTGTGTGCTTGCCTTTCTGCTATCCAAAAATGCCCATTTTCCATCTTTACCCCTTTCTCAAATCAACCCCCTTTTCTCAAATCAACCCCCTGGTCCACACCCCTAAAAAGTGGTAACCCTGCCTCAAACTCAAGGAGAAAACAAGCAACCGGACAGGCACACCCTCATCTTCTCTTTGCCAAATCTGCCAGAGTCTCCACCTTCCTTCTTGACATTAAGGTCGAACCACCTGTGCTCCTAAGAAAGGCCAGCCCTCCATTTGTGCTTAGAATCTCACTCTTTTCCTTTGTCGAATGTAGTAGTTCTGTATGTATCCCCTCCCCGCTGGATCATCTCTTTAGGACGTAAACATGCTCTAGTGTCACCTAGCTATAAGACATTTTCCCTCGACTCCACATCCTCCTTCAGCTCCCATACTTGTTCTATTACCCTTCTCACAATAAAACTTCTGTGCTGTATATGTCAACTGTCTACCTCCTTTTGTTACATTCCTTTTTCAACACACCAACTAGGCTTCTAGCCCCACCACTTCACTGGAGGTTGCTCTTTTCAAGGTCATCAGTTTTCTTCATGTTGCCAAATTCAATGGACACCTTGTTCTTACTATGCTCCATTTATCAGCAACATTTGACTTAGAAAATCACTCCCTTCTTTTAAAAAAAAATATTTTTACTGATTTCAGAAAGGAAGGGAGGAGAGAGAGATGAAACATCAATGATGAGAGAGAATCATTTATCGGCTGCCTCCTGCATGCCCCACACTGGGGATCGAGCCCACAACCTGGGAATGTGCCCTGACTGGGAATCGAACCATGACCTCCTGGTTCATAGTTCGATGCTCAACCACTGAGCCACGCTGGCCAGGCCACTCCCTTTTTGAAAGATTTTTTTTCTTAGCTTTTATAGTATCACAATATCCTGGATTTCCTCCTACCCCCGAGTGTTTTTCTTACTCTTTTTTCTCTTTATTGAAGAAGGTATTACATATGCGTCCTTATCCCCCTATTGCCCCCCCCCCCCTTATTCTTCTTTGTTGGCACCTTTCCTGGCTCATCCCACCCTCAACAAATTGGTGTGTCCCAGGGTTTTGTCCTGGGTTTAATCCTCTTTTCTATATCCACTCCCTCCCTGGGTTATCTCAGCCAGTTCTATGGCTTTTAACACTGTCCAAGCCAACAGTTTCCAAATTTATTTCTCTAGGCCAGTCCTCTCTCTAGAACTCTAGACCCATATATCTAATCGCTTGGTTGCTCTGCATGAGTGTCTAATGGATATTTAAAACTTACTATGTCCAAAATAGAACTGTTGATAAAACAGAACTCCCATCTTGGCAAATGGTACTTATTCTTGATTCCTCTTTTTGCCTCTCTATCCACATCCAATTGAACTGCAACTCTTGTCAGTTATACCTCCAAAATACAACCCAAATTCATCCACTTTTCCCTAGCTCCACAATTGCTACTCCAGCACAAGTCACCATCATCTCTCACCTTGACTACTGTAACAGCTTCCTAACTGATCTTCCCACTTCCACTCTTTCCTGGTCCAGTCTTTACACAGCAGTCAATAGTTTCTTAAAAGATAAATCAGATGTCACTCCCCTATTTAAAATCTCCAAAGGTTTCCCCTTCGTATTGGGAATCAACTTTAAGCTCCCTATTTTGCTTACAGGTCCTGCATAAAATTGGTCCAGACCATCTCCTACAAGCCTGCCCCTCCCATGCTCCAGTGGGCCGCACACCACCTGAACAGCCTTTATTCACTATATCTAATGCCCTGAGCTTTGCTCTTACCTAGTTAAAAGCTGTTCCCTCTGCTTGGAACGCTCTTTCCCCTGATGTTTCTATGGCCACTCCTTCTTGTACCTCATATCTTAGCTCAGTGGTCGGCAAACCGCGGCTCGCGAGCCACATGCAGCTCTTAGGCCCCTAGAGTGTGGCTCTTCCACAAAACACCGGTTCTTCCACAAAATACTGACTTCTGCGCATGGGCCACAAAGTTTCAATCACACTGTACGTGCACACCTGCCGTGGTATTTGGTGGGAGAGCCACACTCAAGGAACGAACAGCCGCATGGTCTGGGTCAATGACCCTGTGGCCAGACCTGGATCTACAAGGCGATATC